AGAGATATTCAAAGTACAGAGAGCCGACGCCGGCGCTCGGCTTCGGCCTTCGGGTGACGATATTTTTCATTTGGTTAAAGTTGGACAAAGCCTTGCCGCGCAGCTCCGCAGTTACTTTCCTTTTAGTCGATTTTCATTATTTTGAGCAGATATAAGTTAAAATGATTATCAATGGCATTTGTATTTCAAAGTTAACAAGTAAACTTATTTATGTAAATATAAAAGAAATTTATTTTAAGTTAATCAAATCCTTTACTACTTTTGCACGGTTTCGTTTATGTTTATGGTTGTTTTAATTCGCAAAACCGGGATGGTATGTAAAGCTGTCTCACTGCAAATGGCAAGCCATTAGCTTGTCGGCGCAGCGATCACTCTACATCGCCTCGCCATAAACAGGTAAGCACAAGTGAAAAGTGTTGGTAACGACGTGGCTCGGACCACGTCGTGGCGAGCGCGGGCCAACACAAACAAACTTTACCTCAAATAGAATCTCCTCGGACAAATGGATTGTCTATTTTTGAATCTTTTCGCTTATTCTTTTCCATTTTACTTGCGAAATGGTTTGCTGTCGATGCATTTTTGTTGGATAGTTATGACTTTTTTGTCCACTCGGCTTTTCTATTTATCTAAAGTCAATTCTAGCAGCAACAATTAAGCAGATTGTGGGTTGCGTATAAAAAAGTATTATAAAATCGTTGATTTTGTAGAAGTAGAGAGCAAATGTTATAAAATTCAAGACTGCTACACAAAAGTCGTAAAACTGGTATTTACTCATTTATTAGCCTAACTGAGTGATTTTAGCTCTCTCATTAAACGGACAACGATCATAGATTGCTTTTATACTTTTCAATGAAGCATGATGAAGACACTCTTTGTTCTTTAGCAGTGGACAGTGTGACATTTTCAATATGTTTATATGTTTAACTATTTTGACATTGTGTACTTCTAGACTACTCCTATCATATTTGTATTGCAATTAAAATGTTACATTATTTACTCTTTATTTCGTAACCTATTTCGCTTATTTCAATTTTTAAATCTCCCCTATTAAAATGTTAATTAGTTATCTGATATTTTTTTGCACCAAATAATTGTCATTGTATTCTCTATATTGCTATTACAATCTGATAATAACATATTTTAATAAAAATAGCAGATCTCCTAGATCCACACAGAAGTTAAGTTCATGTTAAGATGAAGGTAATTCAATATGCGTGTCTCGCTGGTGCCGGCAGACGCACGCAGCGTCGACTTCAGTGGGCTTATCAAACAATCTCATCACGTGTTCGTTACAATGACGCGACTCGTTACACGCAGATAAATGGCTGTCGAGATTAGCCACGCCCCCGCGCCTTCGTGCCCCGCGCCACCGCGCCCCCGCCAAATGTGGTATTAGCAATGACACGTTATTTTACATTCGTTTCAACATAAAATATTGTTATCAGCTCAGCAGAGTGGCATTGCTTGTCGAGTTTCAACGATTTAACAATTCAAATATTCCGACGACAAACAGCGAGTTACTTTACGTAATATATTTATGAGCAAAAAATGTTATTGTATTGTACGTGAGAGAGATTGGCGTCACAATTGGCTTGTCGTGCTGATGAGAACGCGACACAGACCGGGGAGGATTACACGGAAAGTGCTTTAAGATAATCAGATATATACAGATCCTGTTCACATGTCGGTTTGGCTTATTTAGAAAAATATACACGAATCCATTGTTACGTATTTGCTAAACTTATTATTTGGAAACAAAAATAATATTTAAAAGTACAGTAAAAAATATCGACATGACGTGAATTTGACGAGGTGCGTAGGGTTGGTCGCTCGCGGTCGCGACTTCCATTAAACATAGTGAATAATCACATGCACTGTTAATTGCGCTAATTCTGTGAAGCGAATTAACTAATGCTCGCCAATTATAAACAGTACAATTTGTGAAAATGTTCATTGCATACCTACATATGAATGAATTATGAAATGAACATTTATCAAGTGATAACTAAATTAAAATGTTACTACTGGGTACCATTAAATATTAAATAATATAATAATACTTGTATGTAGTCCTGGAAGGTCCTAAAACTTCTAAAGGGTCCCCCAAGCCTCTCCGGCGGTACACAGGAGCAATCAATTACAGAATGACCGGCGCGGGCACAGCGCATTCGGATAAGCCTCAGGCTAAGCCTTAGCTTTGGACTTTAGATATTCTAATACATCCATTCATTATAATTTTTAGCATTGAAATCTAACTACTCTAACTTATATTATAAATGCGAAAGTTTATATGGATGGATGGATGTTTGTTAGAGTTTGTAGCCTAAACTGCTGAACGGATTTCGATGAAATTTGGCATAGACGAAGAGCATAGTCTGGAAGAACACATAGGCTACTCATTTTTGTTTTTTATATAATTCCACGCGGACGGCGTCGCGGGCGAAAGCTAGTACTCATATA